CTACTTCTGCTCTCTCCCCTTGGTAACATTACAAAGCTGGGATTCTCCTGCCACCTCCTAAAACAAATAAATAAACAAACAAAAAACTACAGTTTTCCCATGCCTACTCTTAAAGTCCAAACTCCCTAGCCTCTCAGTCCTAGTTCTACACTATCTAAATCCTACCTCTTTCATGGACTAGTTCAAATCCTACCTTCTAAATCCCTATAGCAATCGTTCACAAGTTATTTGGCAGTTAAGTACTACTTATTATGACACCTTGTCTATTAGCATCTTGAATTTTAACTTATAGGAGGGAATCCTCATAGTTGGTTGAGAAAACAGATTGGCAGTTACTTAAAAAGCTAACATAAAATTACCATTTTTATCAGAGACTCCTACATATGTATCCAAAAGAAATGGAAACACTTGCACAAGAATATTCACAGCAGCATTATTCATAATAACCAAAACAATGAAACTTACACCTTCACCATCTGATGAATGGATAAAATGTGGAGTATCATACAAAGGAATACTACTCAGGAACCAAAAGGACAACCTGGATGAACGTATTAATATGGATGAACCTTAAAACATTATGCAAAGTAGAAAGACATGCTGGTGATTCCTGTTATATGAGACATGCAGAAAGGCAAATTTATAGACAGAAAGTTGATTAGTGGTTGCCTGGGGCTGAGAATGGGAACAGGGATCATGGGAGAAGATAAAAAACTGATTTGTTGGAATTGTTGCACTGCTTGATAAATTAAATCACTGAATTGAATACTTGTTGAGTCAATTTTATATGTAAAATGTGCTTCAATAAAGTTAACATTTCTTTAATTACAGTAGGTACTCAAATGTTACTTGAATATTTAGTCTCTTACCTGTTTTTTCCTCACCACCCTTTCCCCTACAATTAGACTCTAAACATCTTGAGGGCACAGACCACATCTCCCACTTATTTTTTATGCTAATTTTAATATGAATTGCACCTACTCCAAAGCTATACATATTATTGTGTTCCTAACAATTTGCAATTTGTGGCTTTGACTTTTGCCTTGCCAGGCTATGGAGTGACACATTCAAAAGCATCAGGGACAGAATGGTGTATGTGGTAGTTGAATCGCAGCTCCTCTGCTTCAAAGCTAGAACTCAGGGCAAGTTAACTGCCCACGCCTATTGCCCAGGTCTCTAATGAAAGAAAAAAAAAGTAGTAACTACCTTACAGAGTTGCTATGACAATAAGTGAGGCCGTCTGGATTAATGGTTGGCCCAGTGCTTGAAACATGTCGGCTCACTGAATGCTGGCTGAAACATGCACGCACAAACCCAGCCCCAAAGGCACGTGCCCTAGAGAAGCATCTTTCAAACAGGACACAACCTTCAACAACAGAGTGGACACCTACAGACTGCGCTACCCCCTTCTTGTCATCCACCAGGCAAGAGTGGCCCGGTGTCAAATGGAGTTGAAAAATAAATATTAAAATTATAAAACTAAGAAAGAGTGGCCCTGGAACATCTTTTCTCCCTCCCAAGCCCATTGAAGTGTATGTATGACAGAAATACTACTAATCATTTAACAAAAGGAACTAAACATACCTACAACTTTCAACATAGAGTTTCTCTCCCAAGGGGGATGGCACTTCCTAGCCCCCTTGGTGTTTAGCAGGACCAATGTCCAGCTCTAACCAACGAGAAAAACTGACCTGTCACCTCCAAACCAGAGCATGCTGCCAAGACCCTCCCAGTCCTTTCCCTCTCCCACAGCAATGTCCAGCCGCTGGCTGCCCTTGAGGACGGCGTGGAGATCCCCAGCCACCTGCGATGGACAGGGAGTGTGAGAATAAACCTTGTTCTTGGCCAGAGTTTTGGGGGTTGTTTCCACAGCATAATCTAGACTTGCCTGACAGTCACAAGGCTTTCAGGCTATGAAATTATATGCTTTAAATATCTTACCCAAAAAAGCCTTCTAAAACTCTTTATTCTCTGGCTCCATGACAAGCCACTCTCCCTGTTTTCTGGCAACTTCTGTAACCATTTCTCCATTCCCTCATGGACATACTTCCTCTGCCTTACTCACTAAACCCTACTGTTCTCATTCCACATGCTCTCCAGGGAGACCTTACTCACTCCCCTGATTTATCCACATGTGAAGCCGTCCAAAGCTATCTCCATGCTAGTTCAGGGTTTCCCTTACACCCAAAGTCCTGCCGGGCCTAGCTGACCCACAGCATCATAAACCCAACATATCCAAAAGCAAACACATCAGTGCCAAGCCACCTCGACATGTATCTCCGCCTACCTCTCCCTTAGTTAACAGCACCTAAAGCTACCGTCGCCCAGATCAGAGTACTCCCTCTCCCCCACCTCCACCCTCCCTCAACCAACCAGTCCAGTCCAGTTCACCTCCCTTAAATGTGTGTTATTGTTTGAGGGGAGGGGAGATAGTTTTTTTATTTAACTCTTATTACAATATATACTGAGAAAAACATGTCAAGTTCAGAAAATATCTTATTTTGGTATCAGCTATGACAGTAATGTTCTACCCTGAAGACACAAGTAGTTTAGTCCAGACCAAGAAACAAGAGAGCTATCATTTCATAATTATGTCAGTAGCAACCTACATCTTCATCTCATCTCTTTAGCCACTTGCTTCAGTAAATGTCTCAGAACACTGCCAAAGAAGCTGTCGTTTTTATTAGTTTCTTAAGCAATAATTCATATTATTGTTCAAGTTGAAAACAGGGCAAATCTTATGGTTCTTTTTATGGAGTTCTCTTCTTCTTATAAGTCTACTAGTGCCCAGTGCATGGATTCGTGCACAATGAAAGGAAATAGGTGGCCGGTGGGGTGGAACTGGGCGAGAGGGCCGGACACGCTCTGGAGCCAACCTCCCGTGGCCCCTCCCCAGCCGGCCGCACACCTGGGGCGGTGTCATGGCTCAAAGGGCGTCTGTGGACTGAGCGGAGTCCCTCCAGCAGGGGGGTCCCTTGGCCTGGCCTATGGGGATGGGGCTGAAACCAGTTCTCCAACATCCCCCAGAGGGGTCCTGGATTGCGAGGGAGGTTCTCAGGAAACACACCCCAGAATCGGGCTCCCTCCTGTCTGGTTCCGGGGTGCGTCACCTGAGAACCGTCGCTGTCAAGTCACCACAGCTCGGCAGTTCCTGCGTTGAGCATCTTCCCCGATGGTCAGTGCACATCATAGCCACCGGTCAGAGCGTCTTCCCCCTGGTGGTCATTGCACGTCATAGCTACCGGTTGGACAGTCAGACAGTCGCTTAGCCTTTTTTATCTAACATCCACTAATTCATGCCGTTCTCTAAACTGCCTGGTTTTCTAAAACGGAAAAAAATAATGCTGGTATGTAAAACCAGAGCCAATGCTTCTCACCTATGCAGCCAAAACTCTTGCAATTTCCCAAGCACGGTGGACCACGCGAATGGCACCTTCTCACTGGGCAGTGCCATGCCCACTGCCCTCTGGTTACTGTAACTACTGCACAGCAGTCTGTGCTGACCACACTGGTCTTCTTCAGCCTCAAACAGCATTCAGAAGCTATTCTCCGTACAGAAGAGTTCTCCAGCAGCACAATTAATCACCAAGGACCGGAAAACAAATGCCCACTTCTTATTGCTTTACAGTAAGCCAGCAACAAACACAAATGAATAATTATAAACATGACTCTTAAACTCTCAAATGGAGCTACAAGACCAGAATGTGCTCCTATACTTAAAATGCTTTTGTTAAAACTAAAATCCACAACTTCTGCCAAGAACTTAATATTCTCAAGCAGAATCAATTTACTTTAAGAGGCAAAGAAAACTACTGTCAAATGCACTGACTATGTAATTAAAAGCCTATCATACTCAATGTAGACAGTGTTCGTGTCACTTTAAAGATCCGAACACCTTTTTCCTTTCTGCAAACTCTTCTGCAGAAAGAGCTATCACTCTAAATCCAACAATGCAGAGCAATTATGCCTCATTTCTACTTCTTTCCTCACAATGGCAAATTTGTCAGTCCTTAACTCAACCTGATAAAAGCTCTGATTTCCAGGCCAAACATCCACTGTACACACAGAAAACCCAAAATGGAGTCAGGTGGTACACCTGAAATCTTCAGATCCTGGAAACATTGGCACCTTCCTTTCAGTGAGCTCCAAAAAACTATGGATGTCACCATCTTAACTTCAATTCAAGCACTACCCCTGCCCCCTCACAACTGGTAAACAGCCAATGACATGGCAAGTATTCTCAGTACTGCCTGAAATGAGGGGAAGGAGGGTGCAACCAGATTTATGTGGCTTGCCCAAAACTGTCGATCTAAAACCTGACTATCAGGAGAGTCACCAACAACCTGAAACTGCTTACTCTGAAAACAGTGCCAAATCTGCTGGCTCATTTTTTCAGCTGGTTTTTTAATCCAATGTTTTCTCTTTCTTCCAGACAAAGCACAGACTTTTCTCTCAGAACACACCAGTTGGGGTATTGCTAACTAACTTGACTGGGTGGCTTTATACTCCCACACCAAACAGTGTAGCTGGCTGCTAGGAAAAAGGTTTCATAGCTTAGAAATACATCATACGAAGTGTTAAAGATGTGTGTGAAATGATTTGTAATTGCTTGCAATAGCACAATATGAAGGCAACATCAGGAAACCAGGTGTTTAAAACACTAAGTGCTACCCCCATACCGGTAAACAGCCAAATGATAGCACATTACTCAATTCTTTAATACAAAAACTTCCCAGACGTATCTGTTGAACTTGACTTTGCATGTTTTGATGGCAGTGAGGGAACCCTGGAGTTATTACTCCCTTGTAAAAAATTTCAACACCTGATTTACTCACCTGGCTTAAAAAAAGAGAGGAAAATATAAAATGTGTCCTTTGGTTAGCTATCATCCTTTTTAATTATCTGTTTGCATACCTGTGTATGGGGGCTACTTTGGATATAGAAAATACCGAGGATCACAAGACAATAAACTTCTCAATCAGGACATCAACAGCATCAGGGTAATCAGGAAATAAACTTTACCAAGAGACTGACATTGGCACTTTTGACAGAACTGAACTACAGAGCAAATTCACTGAAACAACAAAAAAAACCCTGTCCTTGTAAAGGCTAATCTTTATCCCCAAAGAAGTGTTCCGATTCTGATACACATACCACAAACCTGGCTAAGAAAATAAATCGCGGTGCTTAGCAACAGGGCACCATAACTGTGAGCGGCCCTGCGCTCACCTCGCTGGCCACTGAGGTCAGCAAGGCCAGGCCCGGGGGGAGTCTCCTATTTCTCCACACAAGCTGCTGCTGTCTCCTTATTGAAGCCCCGGATGGAGAGATCATAGACCACCTCCTCCACTTTCTTCACGTCGTACTTCAAGCCATCATAGCGCTTCCTCAGGGAGTCGTTTTTCAGGTTGAGGAGGCGGAACCCGGAATCCAGCTCATTGATGAAGGTGGAGATGTGAAGGGGCCGGGAGTAGTCTCCAGCAGTCACACTGTTGACAGACAGCCTCGACTGTGCAGGGAGAGAGAGACTGGGATGTGTTACAATGTGGCTCCGCCTTACCATGTCCTCCAAATCACAATGACAAGACCCTCAGGCCACAACACTTTCACATATTATCTTGGATGAATACATTTTTGACAAATGCTTAATATTACCACTAACTTAATAACTTAAGAAATCATTTCTCTTGTTAGAGTTTCTATGGGCTATAATTTATTCTACATAAATATTATTTGTAAACCCACAGTGAACAGCCTTATAACAGCTTTTTTTTCATCTTTAGAGTATTTTCATAACATAATTTCTAAGGAAAGAGACTAAGAAGATAAAAGCAAGAATAATTAATGTAGTTATACAGGTAAGTTGCTCTCCAAAACAATTATATGGAATTGTTACCAGGAATACGTTTTTCCACTACTTTGAAACAAAGAGTATAATCATCTCTTAAAAATTCACACATTAGTAAATATGCACCTCGTCAGAATGGCATTTCTCTGGTGACGAGCAAAACTCATACCGTGCACAGTCAATGACTATCCGGTGACCGACAGATGGCTTCTAAATGAATCAGACTCCCGGGATTTTTGTACCCATTTTAAAAAATAACAGCGAAGGGGGAAGGTGAAAAAAATTAACGGCTCCGGGACCAGACAACTTCACAGGTGAATCCTACCAACATTCAAAGAAAATTTAATACCTATCCATCTCCAACTCTTCCAAAATATTGAAGAGGAAAGAATGAATGTTTCCTAATTCAGCCAACATTATTTGGAAACCAAAACCAGGCAGGAACAACACACACACACAAAGATTACAGGTCAATATCTCTGATAAACATAGATGCAAAAGTCCTCAACAAAATACTAGCAAATCATATAAAACAATACATTTAAAGCAGCGGTTCTCAACATGTGGGTCGCAACCCCTTTGGGGGTCGAACGACCCTTTCACAGGGGTCGCCTAAGACCATCAGAAAACACATACATAATTACATATTATTTTTATGATTAATCACTATGCTTTAAGTATGTTCAATTTGTAACAATGAAATTGGGGCCTGCCTATCAGATATTTACATTACGATTCATAACAACATTACAGTTATGAAGTAGCAACGAAAA